CCGGGAAAAATCGCAAAAACCACTGGGTGCGGGGCTCTTCCATACTGAAAATAGGACTTAATCCGAAGACATAGTGACCCTTCTGAAGCGTTCGAAGAGGCCGGCCATCTGGGCGCTGCAGACTTGTGTGTACCTCGGGAAATTCACACTCTGCCTTTCTAGCCTCCTTCCAACTCCTTCCCGAAGGTCGTGCTTAATTGTCAGAAAAGTCTTGACAGAGCATGATTGCTATATGGTTGCTTCGCCTTACTTCTTTTGTGTCGTCCAGGGCTCTGGGGAGAGCCGTTGACTCATTGACAATAGAAGCCCTCCTGGGTAATTAGCCGAAATCTCGGTCTTGGCTTGTTAGGCAAAGTTATACTAATGTGAATCTTATTCAGAGTTGATTGAATTGATTGTTCTTTCTGAGGATGCTATCTTATTCCTTAAATTCATCTTTAGACTATTTTCATAATTAGTCCCTAAATTTGATTTCATTTAGGCCGTTCAGGTACCCGATGGGCCCATGCAGGTATATCTAGCTATAATATTTACACAGGAGGAAACCAAATTCGGTAAAACGGAGGACGAAGGCTGAACACCTGTCAGTGGTGTCCTCTACGAACCTGGGAGTGAAATATTCTCCCAGAGCCGAGATTCAGTCACGAAAATGGGTGGGATGAATTTCAATTGATGGATTTTCGACTTGAAGGAGTTGCACTCGATATTTAGGTCGAAAAATCAGTCGACAGAGATTTCACAGCCGGAACAACGTCGAACAAAAAGTCATCACCACCAACATACGATTCACGAATGAGCCTAGGCCTATCTGGGGGTCGTACTAAAACATCTGACATCTCTTAAACTCCTTTTATACTTGCGACGAAGCATTTCTCAGTCGATCCTATACCTGCGACCTACCTCCATACCCGTCCGATCACCTACCTACACACGCCCTAATGAGGAAAGTCATGATGGATACGGGACGTGTACAAAGGAGGAAGAAAATGGAAGATACACCGAGGGGATTACACAAATCCCCAATGACGAAAACAACCCAACGGTACGATATGAAGGTGCAAGGCTAGAGCAACGATGAAATATTGGACGGCATTTATATTTCGGAGTCAATGAGGATGTCAAGGGCTCGGGCGCGTGGAGGCCGAGGCTGAGGAGGAAATCGCGCTACGGCGTGTATACGGCGGGTTTCTGGACGGTTAGGCTTGGTGTGATTCAACACATAGGTGAAGTCTGAGATGGTCCGGTCATGAAAGTGGGACGAGGTTTATCTGTACTTCACGGTAGTTAACCTGATCCGGCCCAACCCCACACGTGCTTAAGCTCCAATAGGAGTGCAACGGTAGCCATGTAACCTAGCACGTTAATGAACAAGACAAAACAAATTCGGTAAAACCCCCCTAAACTGTCTGTCTTTTTTTTATTTTTATTTTTTTAAATCATTAAGTGTATGCAGCCTAAATAGCTATGACACTACCTGTCTGTCTTGTGTCTATTGGTTTTCTGAGGTTTCCTACAGGAAGTGCCTTTACAAATTTTATACAGTGTGAATTCCGTCTTATCCTTGCCCACATCGTTTCACCTTTTCGTCTAATGCTAATTCTACTTCTCCTGAAAGCTGGAATAGTTCAAAGCAGCCTTTTGCCAGGATCCATTTTGTGGTTCTCTATCTGTCGTCTGGGCTGTTCATCAAGTCCGCAAATGACCTATCTTTTGCCTTTCGAAGCACATCTCTTCCCATTGCCCGCTGAGGACACGCCAAAACCATATGTTTGACATTTTGAGACGGATATCCACACTGGCATTTTGGATTAATCACTCCGCGGACTTTCCTTTGATACAGATAAGAATGGAGACCATTGTGCTCACTTCTTACCTGAACCGCAATACTGCTTTGAGCCCTACTAAGGTTCCGGTGGATATTTGAGGATGTGTTTCTATAGGTAATCCTTTTTCTGCCTGTTGTCTCATCTGTATCAATATTTGCGGCTCTTCAATGTTGAGGCTCTGCCGAAGCTCGATGACCAGATAGTATCTCGTTCCCTGGACGTGTCCATGAGTTTTTCCACTCCTGGAACACGGCCACCTTACCAGCTTCTTTTTGTCTACCTTTCGCACTCTCCTTGCCACAAATTCTGGTTCATTCTTCATACTCCCTAACTTCAGATATAGCCTAATAATTACTATTCCTTATGCAAACAGCTCGTATTTCTCTTCTTTACAGGGAGGCTATTGTCAACACCTGTCAGTGGTGTCCCCTAAGAACCTCCAGCTCTCACTGTTGAGCCTGCAGAGCAGAGATTGAGTAACAAAGTCCTCACTTCGAAGAGCATTCCCAATCGCTTTCGCGGTCTGTATCGTCTTCATCTCTCAACACATTCTCCTATCACCATTACCATGAAGCTAATCACGATCAGATCAGATGGTAGGGTCGGAGCTCTACTCATCACCAAACCTTGATCACGGATGAAAAGCCATCCGATGGGTTTCCGGAGCGTATCCAGCACCCGATACGGAGATGGTGGATTGGATCAAGTCGACTTCGACTGTTACAAAGAAGGGTGATATAGATGAATATGCGCACCTCATGTGGTCCCGGTGTCTAGGTCTCACCTGGCTGGGCCTGCAGTTTTTTTGAGACTTTTTTCCGCGCACGCAGTATCGATTGCTCACACTTTATTTTTTGGGTAGAAGGTTCCGGAGGAAAAAGTGGTTGAATTCCACGGGTAAATACTGAGCTGAATGGCTATTCATCAAGGGGAATATATCAATGATCTTAGAAACAACAATAAAGGATATGAGCACGGTTCAAGGTATGGCCTGGGTCAGAGAGGAGCCCAATTTGCTAGATAGTCATAGACTCAAGTAGTACAATAAAAACACACACACTCTCCACTATGAGGTAAACTTGCTTACACAAACAGTCAACCCTCCTCCATAAATACTCACCAAAGGGAAATAGAAAACCTTTGATCGTACAAGCGTCCCTTCGTCATCTATGTATGCCAGTGCCGCGAGAAAAGTGGTCGTGTTTTGCCGGATTTGAACACATAGAACCTCATACATCTGTACCATCGAAATTTACCGACACAATTCTGAAATATAATTCCCAGGTCTTTAGGGATCCCGAACTCCCTTTGATGTGGAAACGACTGGCAACTCAACTATTGCAGGATATGATTTCCCAGCCAGAGAAGTTTGGATACCACTGAACCTAATATCACCCAGCCAAGCATTTTTTTGCATCAGATTTTAATTGTTTATGCAGATATCCAGCTATGACACAATATTAAAGAAAAGTACTCAATTGATGACTCAATTATAACTAGAGCGCTCATGCCTCGGATTTCATTTGCAAGTACCACTGCGATGTTATGGTGGCATTTTCTTCACTCCAAGTCAACCCTCATCCGTGGATACCCACCCAGGGAAACATCTCAAACCCCCCCGAGTTATCCAGATATGCCTCTATCATCTATTTACTATTCTCTGCGCGAAATATGATCTGAGGTATCTCCTTCCTAAGTGGATTAGATACCCAGACTACTCATATTATACCAGACAACAATACCAGGAGGTGGAGCACGGCACCATCCATCGTTTCCTTTATCAGGTATAAATATAGGCGTGGGCTTACATTGGTGACAAGCTGAGGCCAGAGAAAGTCAACGAACGGTGTGGTCATTGGAGTGAGAATGTACTAGGTCGACTTTGTAGACTTGATGAGACTTAGACAGGAGTCGGTCTTTTTGAGAATGGAAAATTGACGTGGTGTAGTATTTTGAATCATTGCTTCGTGGGCCAACTTCTTTGATATTGCGTGAATCAATTTGGCTCTGGGAGAATATTTCACTCCCAGGTTCGTAGAGGACACCGCGTACAGGTGTTCAGTCTTGCCCTCCAAATGCCATCTCTATTAACCTGATAGGGATAGCTTTTCTAACTAGTCTGCCATATAGCTGATCCCATCTGATGACGAAAACTTCGCGCATCACAATGTGATGAACTTGGATGCCACAGAACATTTGAGTTGTGCTACATCTTCTCTGTATGAAGATGCATTTCGTGTGACCATTAACATTGTCATTCTTGGATTTTGCGCAACACCGCAAATACCTTTATAATTTCCAACCTATCACTACCAAGTCTCTACCAAACAATAGTACGGCCGGAGCATGGTTTGCGAACCTTTTCCGGCCCTTTACATTCGACAAATAACAGCAGTATAACTAGTATGATCTTTGGATCATAGAATCAATTTAAATCTCTTGCAGTCTCACACCAAGAACTGGCCAGCGTGCGACTTTTGTTCGAAGTCTTTATTTAAACGCAGGAACAAACACTTGTCCCTGGTAAAAAAGACACCCTTGCTTTGGCAAGAATTGCTATCCTGTGAGTAAAAAGCGTCTCCAGCACCCTAGATAGCATAAAGAAGCCGGCCTACACTATGTCACGGCAACGGCACTTAGGTGCAGAGAGGTCCGCTACAGCAAGCCTCTAAGCGCCTTTGAAAAGTTGCTGTGTAATCGGATATAGTCCCCATGTCGGTACCGGGGGATTCTCGTTGTTCATTTATTTTACAAGTTTTACCGGCTGCATTATTGTCGCAAATGGTCTTCATTTGATTGGTCGGATGGGAGGGATATTGTAGGTTTTAAAACCCCCATCTGTATGATTTTAGAATGATTCATGAAGTATGCAACGGTTGAGTGGGAACCCTTATTATAATCTAGAAGGGAAGGTGGTACTGGCGGGAGAGTTTTTCTTTTCGCACATAGTGCCAAGTTGACAAATTACAATATAATATCTCGACAAATCACTAGGCCCACATTTATACTGACCGCTTCTGTAGATAATTAGACCTCTTACTCAGGTTGGATTGAACAATAACTACCCACTTTACACCTTTAGCCTTTACCAATCATCAACACTTGCTACAGCGAACATCATTGCGCTACGTTCACCATCTGAATCCAATAATCTTTCTACGGATTCCCAAAAGAATGAAAGTAACGAAAGACAAGTACTCGGTTATCTTGCCAACTTACAATGAACGCCGAAACCTTCCCATCATCACCTGGCTTCTCAACCGTACCTTTTCGGAACAGTGTGTTTCATCAATCCATACTCAATTCATACATGCTTGGAAGCTAACTTGAGCCCCAGAAATCTAGATTGGGAACTGATAATTGTAGACGATGGGTCACCGGACGGAACACAGATTGTTGCGAAGCAGCTTGTCGAGGTGTACGCGCCTCACATCCACCTCAAACCGCGCGCGGGAAAACTTGGGCTAGGCACAGCCTACGTTCATGGGCTCCAATTTGTTAGTGGAAACTTTGTCATAATAATGGATGCCGATTTTTCCCATCATCCGAAATTCATCGCGCCTATGATAGCCAAACAAAAGACCAATACCAGTCCTGGAGGATACGACATCGTCACCGGTACGCGCTATGCTAGAGGAGGAGGCGTCTCAGGCTGGGACTTGAAGCGCAAGCTGATTTCACGCGGGGCAAATCTGTTCGCCGATACGGTCCTCAGACCCGGAGTAAGCGATCTGACAGGAAGCTTTCGACTGTATAAGTATGCCGTCTTAAAAAAGATCATTGAAAGTACAGAAAGTAAAGGATATACCTTTCAAATGGAAATGATGGTACGTGCTAAGGCCATGGGATATACTGTCGCTGAGGTTCCAATCACATTCGTTGATCGCCTTTATGGAGAAAGCAAACTTGGCGGTGATGAAATCCTTGAGTATGCCAAGGGCGTCTTAAGCTTGTGGATCAAGGTGTAAAGAGTTACAGTATAAAGATATCAAACAATTTCTGGCAAAGCTACACTAATATTATGTAATCAGGCGTTGGGAATGGGGTTAGGATTGGATAAAAATACGGAGAACAAGAATAATAATGCAAAAACACGAGGATACGCCCAATGTCAATTCTCACTTTAGGCTACAAAATTATTCAACTTTAATACTGGATATGTTACTTTAAATCTACAATTCATCAAATAATAAATTTTCCCAGCGGATTTGAAGGATAATAAATTAAAGAAACATATTTTCGTGTTGGGCTCCTGACAGAAACACGACTATTACTCACACACCAGGCATTCAGAGCTTCTATAATTCTCAACTAGCATCACAGTACTGCTTATCAATACCAATGATTTCCAGATGAGTAGGAAATCAGTAATGAAATTATGGGGTGAGGAAAAGTTGGTGAAGTAACTCACTACCGGAGCTAGTTGGATATTAAATACCAAGTAGGATACACTTCTTGAACCGGGCTATTATACGATTTATTTCTAGAAATGCAATCTCCCCATGAACTAGGTAGTTTGATTTGCTATGGCGAAATTCATGCATCAAACCAAAGCTCGTTTAATTGAAGGCCTGAAGAGGCAGCGAGCTCGCAGGTAACCCAAAACTACTGACTAAGCTGGATTCTTAATCAAAGAATTACGTGGGTGGGAAATTAAATTAGAGATTATTCTGGAAATTGAACTTTAGCGCTCAGCGCCTGGCTTGTTCTATCAAGCTATTTATCGTTAAGATTAAATTCTGCACAAAGTCTTCATGCCACGGGTCTTTGCTCTGATAAGCGTAACGCACGAAAGTATGTCTCAAAGCTGATGCCCATTTTAGCCTGCCCTACCGCACAAAAGTGCCCGAACCTTCGGCACGGCTTCCTGCTTCCAGCTCTGCCGTCATGGCCGCACTGCAAATATGCGTGCCGTTGATCCCATGGCAAGGAAACTTCTCAAGAGCTCTGACCCCACAACAGATTTCAGCCCTTATAACTACCAATGAAGGTAGACTCCTCCGTGGACCTCCCTCGCGAAAGATAATTGTGTCTGCAGCTCACTGGGCGACTTGGCTAGCCTAATATCGTCAACCATCCGGCACGAGCGTTCTCTATGATCCCAAAACGGCCCGATACCTACCAATAACTTTCATTTACATGGTCAAACTCGGGCCGATAGGGGTTAGCTGTGATATAAATGATCTCCTTTTGTTTAGGATAAACTATGCTAGAATCTACAGGGAATGTCTCCCATATTCCAGCCTACGGCTCCTGTTGTATGGATTAGGATGAAGGTGGAAAGATGACGTGAGAATTGCTTCTGTCGATAAATAAAACATCGGCTGGTTCTCGAAGGGACAGGTCCTGTACTGATTTCATCGACCAATTCTACTTTATTCCATCATTCATTACAGTTTGAACAGTTAATTTGCGGTACGCAACGACTCCACACGTTTGCCGTAGCATGATCTGGAATCTTGTTTTTAAGTTTACTGTCCTGTATTATTGAGTCAATAACCTATGGTCTTATTGAGCTCCCAAAAAATCCCATTATCAACCTCTACTCCCACGACCGCCTGCGCAAGAGTTTCTAGGCGTAGAACCTCCCTGTGTAGAGTAGCTTTTTTACTTGGAGTGGATGATCCAACTAGGCAGGCGTGAGGTGGAAGTAGGAATTGATGCTCTGTCTTGCAGACTAAAGGAAACTATTTTCACGTGAACCACTCTATGTTGCGTTTTTCCTGGCCCAGTCAAACCCAATTATCAGCTATCTTAAAGGATCAGTCGTCTTCATCAAATAGCTTCATGATAACAACTTCTTCGGAGAAATTCAATGTTGACACAATCCTGTACTATAATCGACTAATATATGATAGGCGACATTAGTAGACAATTGGTGTAGGAGATGGATAATTTTTGCTGTAAACATATATATACCTTCTGCAGCTTTTTGAATATCAATAGTCTCAGCTTAAGTGCACTTATGACATCTTTTTATATTTTGGGGCGTACGGCAGGGTGGCCTAGGCCCATGGATTACATATCGGGCCTGGTAAAAAAGCGCTTGCACGTCGAGTAGCTCATGTAGACTGGGCTGGCACGATGTTAAAACAAAAAGTTTCCAAAAGGTCTGTTTAGGCTGGGGAAATGTAACGCTTCAAAATTGACGATCGATAAGGCTTCGCAAGAATTGTGTTTCTCGAAATTATATCTCTCCAGGCAGTTATATGTTCGGCATTTTTTATGATCATGTACTACACGGTTTATAGTCAGCATCTGGACAAGCACAGACTCAATCATTCCAAAGCTACTGTCACGGGATAACCCGTCATTGGTTGTCTGGCTGACCTGTGTGCTCAGCTTAACATCCAATTAGTGTCTGGCATAAGGCTCAAACTTTTACACTGAGCAAGATCCATTCGGAGTGCTGTAGGACGAAGACTGAACACCTGTCAGTGGTGCCCTCAACGAACCTGGGAGTGAAATATTCTCCCAGAGCCGAGATTCAGTCACGAAAAAGGGTGGCATGAATTTTATTTGATGGATTTTCGACTTGAAGGAGTTGCACTCGATATTTTGGCCGAAAAATCAGTTGGCAGAGATTTCACAGCCGGAACAAAGTTGAACAAAAACTCATCACCACCAAAATACGATTCACGAATGGGCTTAGGTCTGCCTGGGAGTCGTATTCAAACATCCGAAATCTCTCAAACTTTTTATGTATTTGCGACGAAGCATTTCTCAGTCGATCCTACACCTGCGACCCATCTTATACTTGTCACATCACCTACCTACACACGCCCTAATGAGGAAAGTCATGATGGATACGGGACGTGTACAAAGGAGGAAGAAAATGGAAGATACACTGAGGGGATTACACAAATCCCCAATGACGAAAACAACCCAACGGTACGATATGAAGGTGCAAGGCTAGAGCAACGTTGAAATATTGGACGGCATTTATATTTCGGAGTCAATGAGGATGTCAAGGGCTCGGGCGCGTGGAGGCCGAGGCTGAGGATGAATTAGCGCTTCGGCGCGGCAAAAGGGGGTTCTCTGGACGGTTGGGCTTGACATGATTCAACACATGGGTGAAGTCTAAGGTGAGTGTAGGCGACACTATAAACACCGCCATAGTTGGATGGTGCCGTGGTACATCGTCTTGGCCGGTCTGCCAAGTAGAGTCTGGATAGCTTGGACACATATCCCACTCGAGACAGTAGATCGCTGGTTCGAATCCGGCAAAACACAACCACATTTCTCGCGGCGCTGGTATGCATGGATGAACAAGGCATGCTTGGACAACCAAAGGTTTTTAAATTCCCTTTGGTGGGTACTAATGGAGAAGGGTCGACTGTTTGTGTAAGCGAACTTACCTCATAGTGGTATTTGCGAATGAAATCCAGAGTATGAGTGTCTCTAACGTCAAAAGAGTCATCCCACATGTAAACAAAGCGCCGGTCATGTGTCATAGCTAGATAGCTGAGTACTCATTAAATGATTTAAAAAAAACCCCCCCCAGATTTCATTCGTAGATACCACTCGAGGTTAAACCCTACAGCGTACAACCTCATCCGTGCATACCCACCACAGGGAAACGCATGAAAACCCTGTGGCTATCCAAGTGTAATTTCATCATCCCTCTAGAACAATATCATCGCGAGAGAGAGTGGTGTGTGGGTTTTACTGGGTTCGAGCCAGCTTTCTCTTGTCTAATATCTGGTAGGTGTTCAAGCGACTCAGTATCTACTTAGGAGAGCGGCCCAAATGGTGTACTACTGCACCATCTAACCCTTGAGACGTCTTCTTGATATCATCGTTTTAGATAATCAGAATAGACTTCGTTAACTTCGTTCGATTGTTCAGATCACGACTCATTTCGTGACATGCACAATCATCTCACCACCTACTGAAGCAATCCCATACCTCCAAAAGCCAAATCGCCAACTAAGAAGCAAAAGAACGTCCCACACCCCACAACTGCCAGTCGCTGTGAAGGTACGGTCGAAAAATCGGCCTTAAAAGCGTCCTTACCTCGGCCAAGGGCACCAACAACTCGACCTGCGACGAATCGCCGGCATACCGACTAGAGCGTTCGACAAAGGCTGTGGCACTAGTGCCTCGGTCTTGAGCTCTCAGTCACATTTTCGACCTCCACGGTTAGGGGTACGGCAGCGACGAGGCAAGGCCAGAGGGGTGGACATTCTACAAAATTTCTGGGATGACGAGATCGGCTGAAGGCCAGAGGGATGCTGCATAAAGGAATCAAAAAGGAAATCAAACTGAGGATGCCTTGGTGGGCGACTGGATGAGGCCTCCAGCGAAGAAAACGACCCCTGGATGAGATGAGCCAAAGCTGCGAATGAATCGAAGGGAAAAGTTATAGATGGCGAAGGTGTCAAGGGCTCGGGCGCGTGGTGACCGAGGCTGAGGAGGAATTAGCGCTTCGGCGCGCCAAAAGGGGATTCTCTGGACGGTTGGGCTTGACGTGATTCAACACATGGGTGAAGTCTGAGGTGGGACGAGGTAGATAATCTTAATGGTAGTTAACCTGATCCAGCCAGGCCCCACCCGTGCTTAAGCTCCAGCAGGAGTGCAACGGAAATCACTATACCTAGCACTAATAAACAAAACAAAAACATCTCCGTGTCGGTAAAGATGGTTGCAGATGAAGTCACGCAAGTGACAAAATCAGTTCCCTTTCAGGTCCGACCTCATGGGACGCGTCGGCCTAGATCATCTCATCAAAACTGACATGCCCTTTTCCACCGGGATTCCGCTTCTTCGACGAGTCTGGTAAGGCCACCATTCACAAGTCTCGTCGACAGACTAAACAGTGCAAACGCTATTTGGGCGTCCACGCCACCCGTGATTGCTCCCGCGCTCCAGCCTACTGGAACTGCGGATCAAACATGCACTCTGAAGCCGAGTTAAAGTCCTCACAAAGTGTCGTAACTGTGGGGGACCTCACCGATCGGATTCTCGG